TTACGCATGTCACACATCACTTCCCGTTGTCTCCTTTTCTTAAATCATCCTAAATCCACGGAGTCTGGTCTTCCCAAGTTTTTCAGCTTGAAGCCGGACGAAGTCGCTCCGCCATATAACGGAAGATTAGTTTTGAAGTGCTCGGCGTTTAGTTGGTAGATCCGTCGGATGGCTTTGATAAATAACCGGGAATTATTCTTTTATTATTATTATAATTTTTACCGAGACGACAGTTGGCACAACCTGGATTAATCACCTGTTCCATTTGTCAGCCTTGGTATAATCCAGTTACGGAAAAGTCGACCTATAAATCAGTGATGGATTTTTGTTCAGCTGCAATCGTATTTATATATAGTCACAGAGAATTCACGTGTTTGGCGGTATTTTATTATTAATGAGAAAAGATCTCGTTATTTCGGGTTGAATAGCTAATCTAATTGCGCTCTGGGACGGTGCTGTGCTTCGGATGAAATTTCAGACTGTCTCCTTCAGTGAAAACCTACCGACGTTTGTTGAATTATACTGCCATCCTTAATTAAATTCTGTGTCACCTTGCAGGTAAAATATCATATTTCCTTCATTAAAATACCAAAGTTTGCCGCTGGAGAAAGGCTATCCGGATAGGTTAAGATAGAATTATGGAGAAACCTATTACCAGTGAGGGCAATTAACCAGTGGAACGGCTTTGCTCTCAGAAGTTGTGGGTGCTCCATCACTGGAGGCTTTTAAGAAGAGGCTGGAGAATCATTTGGATTTCCTGCCTGAACAGGGGGTTGGACTAGATGACCTCCATGGTCCCTTCCTATTCTATTCTATTCTATTTTCTATTCCATTCCATCCCATTCCATATTCCAATATTTATTCCACTCCACTCCATTCCATTCCATTCTCTAAGTCTTAGGGTTAGGGTTACATCACCATGACGTCACCTCTATCTATCTACCTACCTACCTACCTACCTACCTACCTACCTACCTACCTACCTACCTACCTATCTATCATCTATCTATCTATCTATCTATCTATTTATCATATTTATCTATCTATCTATCTATCTATCTATCTCTCTATCTCTCTATATAACTATATAACTATCTCTATCTATCATCTGTCTATCTATCATCTGTCTATCTATCTATCTAATCTATCTATCTATCTATCTATCTATCTATCTATCTATTTATCTATTTATCTATCATATCTATCATATCTATCTATCTATTTATCTATCTTTATCTATCTATCATCTGTCTATCTCTCTGTCTGTCTATCTATCTATCTATCTATTTATCTATCTATCTCTATTTATCATCTGTCTGTCTCTCTCTCTCTCTCTCTCTCTCTCTCTCTCTCTCTCTCTCATCTATCTATCTATCTATCTATCTATCTATCTATCTATCTATCTATCATCTATCTATCTATCTACCTATCTACCTATCTACCTATCTATCTACCTATCACTTTTAATGTGTGCCATTGCGCCCACAGTAAAAAATGCCAATAAAGGTTATCTTATCTTATCTTATTTGATTCACTGGATGTCCCGATTGAGAGACACTTTTAATCCTCCAGAGGTCTGGGTTTCAAAAATAATTCAGATAAATTACTGTCCCTTAAAACCTTGAAGTGAGTTTCATTTTCTTCCAGATGTTTGGATGCTGACACTCAGTTTGCAGCTGCTCAGCCAATTTCTCTGGTTGCAAAACTGAAGGGAGCTAAGTGTGACCTGCGCTTTTCTCCCCCCCCCCCCTGGCCTGCATCTATTTATCTTCTGACGTTATCTGCCCCCGTTTTTTTGTTTTCCTATTTGGATGGTTCCAATACACGTAGCTTTCGACTTACAACGGTTCATTTAGCGACTGTTCAAAGCTACAACAGCACGGGAAAAAGTGACTTAGGACCCTTTTTCACACTTAGGACTGTTGCGGCCTCCCCCGTGGTTCACGTGATCAAACTTCAGAGGCTCGGCAACTGGCATGTACTTACGACTGTTTGCAGTGTCCCCGGGAGTCACGTGATCCCCTTTCCGCGACTTTCCAACGAGCAAAGTCCGTGGGGAAGTCGGCTTCACTTCACAACTTAACAATTGCAGCGATTCACTTAACAACTGGGGCAAGGAAAGGCATAAAGCAGGGGAAAAAATTGACTGAACAACAAATGTCTCACTTAGCAACGGAAACGTTGCGGTCGTAAGTTGAGGACGACCTGCAAATCGAAGGAATCCGTCCTAATTTTGATTCAATAAGTTGGCATTTCCCTTAGCCAGAGTCTCCCAAATAAATTTTGTCTTTTTTTGGGGGGGGGGGGATTGGAAATGTTTGTGACCGTAATGCAGAAGCGGCTTTCATTTCCACGTTGACTTTTATTAGGTTTATTTACACTGGTTTTTTTTCTGGCTTTGCCGGGGTGCTCGTTTTGCATTTGTGTTTCCAAGTGAAAGAAATTGAATTTCTGATTTGTTTCCAGTGTGCCGGGCTGTAAACCGTGAACAATTATTGCTGTGTTCTTTTCATCTTTGTTCAGTTGCTTGATATAGGGGGGGGAAATCACCCATTATGAGCAGCTTTGTATAATTTTGCCTTCACAGGGTTTTGTTATCTGAGCTGGAATTGCACTGATTCGTTTTCCTGGCTCCACAGCTAGTATTTTGCGATATTACGGGACCAAATATTGCCGTATCTCTTGTGTGTCACGCAGTTGGAAGTGCCTAGCAGTAGTAAAAAAGATGTTGAGACTCTGGAAAGAGTGCAGAGAAGAGCAACAAAGATGATCAGGGGACTGGAGGCTAAAACATATAAGGAACAGTTGCTGGAATTGGGGATGTCTAGTATAACGAAGAGAAGGACGAGGGGGGACATGATAGCAGTGTTCCAGTATCTCAGGGGCTGCCCCAAAGAAGAGGGAGTCAAGCTATTTTCCAAGGCGCCTGAAGGCAGGACAAGAAGCAACGGATGGAAACTGATCAAGGAGAGAAGCAACCTAGAACTAAGGAGAAACTTCCTGACAGTGAGAACAATTAACCAGTGGAACAACCTGCCTCCAGAAGCGGTGAATGCTCCAACACTGGAAGTTTTTAAGAAGAGACTGGACAGCCATTTGTCCGAAATGGTATAGGGTTACCTGCCTGAGCAGGGGGTTGGACTCGATGACCTCCAAGGTCCCTTCCAACTTTACTACTACTACTACTACTATTATTATTATTATTATTATTATTATTATTATTATTATTAATCGGGCAAATTACTTTAAAACAGCCCAGTCGTTTTAGACAGAGCTCTCCCATTCTCGAATTAGCCTTTCCTTGCTGCTTCTAAATTGATGGAACTTATTTGGAAGTTGGGTGCCCAATAACCTAGGCACTATTGTGTAGAATGCGTCCAAAATTCAGAGCTCGTTGAAATTTGGCACAAGCATGGATGCTTCAACGCAGCTGCCGCATCGTGCTCGACCGTGGTCACGCGGCTATAATTCCCAATGCTCCCTGCCAGCTTCCCACGAAGGAACGAACTCATTGGGGAAGCCAGCGGGAAGTCGAAAGTTGTCCCTGCTCCGACTGTTGGTTTTTTTTGCTCACCTTTTTCTGATTAGCTGAAGAAACACTTCAGAAACGGCGAAGGGTCTTGCTTTGCTGACAGGATGGTCGTTTTCTCCCAAGGGTGCTTTTTTGAAAGGCTTTCCTTCGAAGACGTTTCGCTACTCATCCGAGAAGCTTCTTCCGTTCTGACCGAATGGCGGAGGAGGGAAGGATTTCTATCCCTCGCAGTCCTCTGGACGTTTGCGCTCTTTCGGAGAGCCGTGGAGACCCCCTTGGAGGTTCACCTGTGCCCTCAAGGGTCACCTGAGTAGTGCAAACGGGCGTGGAACCTTCTTGGAACGGCGGGAAGTTCAGCAGTACTAACGACCAGATGACTGCAAGGAATAGAAATCCTTCCAACCTCCGCCGTTCAGTCCGAAACGGAAGAAGCTTCTAGGATGGGGAGCGAAACATCTTCAAGAAAAAAAAACAAAGTCCAGTTGCCTTTCAAGGGAGCGCTTTTGGGACTTGGATGGTTGAGAATCGGCATAGACGACAGTCATTTTGCAAGTATTAGACGCTTTTTTCCCCCACCCACCCCCCAATTTCTTGAACCTTCGCAGTTAAAGAGACTTTTTTTGGTGGATTCTTCTTCCCAGCAGATATTTGGAGCGACCACTCGTTCCAGTCCGATCCTGACCTTCCACCGGGTTGGAAGAAGATCAGCGATATAGCGGGGGTCTATTACTGGCACATACCCACAGGGACCACCCAATGGGAGCGCCCCATCTCGGCGCCCGCGGATCTTCAGTGCTCAAGGAACGGTTCCTTGAGTTCGCTCGCCTCCTCGCCTAGTCCAGAAACGGAGGTAAGGTTGAAGGCCTCCTACAATCGGAGAGTAAACCGTGTTTTAAATGAATATGTCATTTTTTTAAAAGAAAAACAAACAATCAATTCCATAAGTTTATTTTAGACGGGGTTGGACTAGATTACATCCAATCTAGTTGTTGTTTTTGTTGTTATTATTATTATTATTATTGACCATCGCACAGTCAGCCAGATGTTCAGACTGGATCTGGCATTTTTGTCTACCTATCGAGTCCTTCCCAAGGACCTGGGATAGCCAGATGTGGATGTTTTTATTTTTTTTATTTATTTATTTATTTATTTATTTATTTATTTATTTATTTATTTTTTATTATTATTATTATTATTATTATTATTATTATTATTATTGACCATCGCACAGTCAGCCAGATGTTCAGACTGGATCTGGCATTTTTGTCTACCTATCGAATCCTTCCCAAGGACCTGGGATAGCCAGATGTGGATGTTTTTTATTTATTTATTTTATTATTATTATTATTATTATTATTATTATTATTATTATTATTATTATTATTAACCATCGCACAGTCAGCCAGATGTTCAGACTGGATCTGGCATTTTTGTCTATGGAGTCCTTCCCAAGGACCTGGGATAGGCAGATGTGGATGTTTGATGGTATTACAGATCTCGTCGCAGGATGGAAGCAGTTCCTAGTAAGGCCGCCTTTTGCAATTGACTAATGGCGAATTTGTCAATGCCAATGATGGTGCTCAAGTGGTGCTCCAGTTGTTTTGGGATTGCACCCTTCTAGCACTGATGATGTTACCTAGTTGAGTCATAAAACGCCTGCAAGAAAACCGCCAAGCTCTGAGAGCACCAAGGGACCCCACCGTTTCTCTAGTCAGCCCTACACTGGAGATATCTACATCAACCCCCCCCCCATCCATGGTGATGAAGGCCATTTCAGCGGGGCTCAAGTAGTGAACAAGAGACCATGATTATCCTAAAGCCCTGCTTTTTTAAAAAAAAAAAAAGCCATCATAGCTAAAAAAAAAAAAAGAAAGAAAATTCAGTTACGTTACACCAGTGAGGGCGAACCTTTTAGAGACCGAGTGCCCAAACTGCAACCCAAAACCCACTTACGCATCGTCGGGTGCCAGGTGGGTGTGGCCCATTGGGTGGGCGTGGCTGCTGTGGTAACGGCAGACTGGGTGGGACTAAAAAGTTCAATCAATCAATTCCAACTTTGCGAGATTTTTTTTTCCCGCAAGAAGTTGAAATTGACTGATTGATTGAACCTTTTTTTTTTGCACATGGCGGCGGAGGCCTAAAGCGAAAAGGTTTTATAAAACCCAGCGGAAGGCCTAGGACGGGGGCGACGGCGCGCGTGCCCACAGAGAGGGCTCTGAGTGCCGACTCTGGCACCCGTGCCACAGGTTCGCCACCACTGCGTTACACGCCTGTGCAGGGATTGACAGCAAAGGAAAACCTACTCCGTATAAAGGCATCTCCTGATACGTTCCCTGATTTACAAGTGGTCTGCAAAATAACCTTTGGCAACCTTTGCTTTTTTTCTTAAAAATACCATTTTATTGGGGACTGGCTCAGAGAGGGCCAAGCTAGGCAACCAGCTTCAGAGTCACCTCTGCAAAAATGTGTTGGCTAAACATTTGATCGCGACGCTTAACCATTCTTTTGGCCTACCAGTAACCACAGCCACGGAGAGTGGGCAGCGCATTGTGTTTTGTGTCGGTTTCCTGGGGTTGTGTGTACAGTTGTTTGGGCCTCCTGCTTTGAGCCAGCTCCGTAAATTACATCCCCGTGCAATTTGAGGTGTTATGTTCCCTAACGCAGCCTTTAAATATCGGTGCTAACAAAGGTGTTTCTGTGTGTTTCCCCCCCCTTCCTTTCCATGCCCTTCCTGTTTATTTATCTATTTTTTTAAAAAAAACAACATTATGCTTTTTCCTGTGTGAATATATACATATATATATATATATATACATACATATATCTAGAAACAGCCCTGGAGTGATTTTGCGGTGCTGAACGGGGCAAAGATTAATAGTGACATTTGGAAGGCAAGTATCCGGTCAGATTTTTCGAAGAGCTTTTGATACTCATTTCAGCTTCTTCTTCTTTTTTTGGGGGGGGGGTGGTTAAAAAAAATAAATTATGATTTGCATTTTGCATGGCTGTAGCTGTGTGGGCTGGTCTCTCTTCCCCCCCCCTCCAAATATCACTCATGATAACGAATCAGCCAAATGAATGTGAGCTTTGCCAAGCCAGGTTGGATCCCCCCCCAAAAACGGGTTCCTGGTGCCTGTTTTTTTCACCCCCACACAGCCTGAATTTGCTCATTTGTCATCCCCACGTGCTTGCCCTTAACAATTGTGCTGTGAACAACGCATGCGTGCTTGTGTGTCTGCCGAGCATATATATATATATCTTTGTTTTCCGACCCTCTTTAAGAAGGGAGAGTTGCTCTGGGTCAAACGGGCTTAACACGTTGTTTTTTCATCCTCCCGCAGGACCTTCACGCAGCCACCGTGAACCCAGACCCCAGTTTGAAAGAGTTTGAAGGGGCTACTTTACGATACGCTTCCCTGAAGCTCAGGTGAGAAAGAGGGGATGATGGTGGACAAGGTGGCAAGATTCGTCAGGGGCGAAAAACCGGGACCACCGCGTTGCGCGCCACGTACGGCGATGTAGTGTTCAAAGAATCTGGTCAATTGACAGCGCTAAATTGGTGCTGGATAAAAGTCAACAAAATTCAAAGGGGGGTGGACTTAAACAAGAGTTCTCCAACCTTCCCATGGGGGGGCAAGGGGGGAAAGAGGGGATGGTTTTGTGGGAGGGGTAGGCGCTTGAACGTGTGCTTCCGTGCGCAGGAGCCCCTGTTGCTCGCTCAAGTGGGGCCGAGAGCCCCCGTGACCCTCGCGTGAGTGACACTGCAAGCACCTGAGACACACACGTGGGGGCCGCGAGCCCCTGTGACGCTTGCGCGAGGCCCCGAGCGCCCACGACTCTCGCGTGAGTGGGGCTGTGCACATGTACGCACCCGCATCAGCCAGCCACTCGCGCAGCCCGGTTGCAAATAGGCCCCGGACCTGTAGTGGGGCTGTGGCCCACAGGTTGGGGACTTCCGACGTAGACCACTTACGGCAATGTAATGATTCCAGGCTGATTCCTCTCTTGACTCCAACCCCAGACTCCGCCTCTTCTTCTCCTACAGAAATTCCTTTGCTTGCACAAGTAGCGCTCAGCTTGCAATCATTTGTTTAGTGCACTATTCAAAGTTGTGATGGAAAAAAACCCATTATTTACAACCGGTCCTCACACTTACAACCGTTACCGTGTGCCCAGGGTTACATGATCAGGATTTGGGCAACCCAGCATATAATTATAACAGTTGCAGCGTCGTGTGTGTGTATGTGTGTGCGTGCGTACGTGACGTGATCACCATTTGCAACCTTCCCACTTGTCTTCCAACAAGCAAAGTTCACGGGGGCGGGGAACCAGATTTGCTTAATGACCGCGTGATTCATTTAACAACCGTGGCCAAAACAGATCGTAAAATCAGGTTGGTCCGTTATTTTTTTTTTTACTCTCACGACTTAAGACTGTAACGGGCAGGCTCCGTTACAGTCGTTAGCTGAGGACTACCTGAATTTGAGGATGGTTATTTTGATTGATTTATTGATCTANGGGGGGGGAACCAGATTTGCTTAATGACCGCGTGATTCATTTAACAACCGTGGCCAAAACAGATCGTAAAATCAGGTTGGTCCGTTATTTTTTTTTTTACTCTCACGACTTAAGACTGTAACGGGCAGGCTCCGTTACAGTCGTTAGCTGAGGACTACCTGAATTTGAGGATGGTTATTTTGATTGATTTATTGATCTACCACATTTATTGGCTGCCCATTTTACCACCGATCTGTTAATTTCCACAAAGGAGTGTTAGAAAGAAGGAAAGGAATTATTATTATCTTTTATTCATTAAACATGAACCTCAGTCAACTGAACATTCAAATTGGCTGGCACTGATGGTGGTTGTTGTTGTTGTTGTTGTTGTTGTTGTTGTTATTATCTTCTCCAGTTCTTTCTCGTCTATTCTGCTGTCTCCAGGCACTGCCACGTCCACTATCCACTATCTTACGGCTCAATACAAAACACGCAATTCTATCTTGGTTACGCTGCGGTGGGCTGTCTACTGTAGTGCAGGACCACATCCAAAGGTCCTGAAATGTACCGCCAGCCTCTTTCCGGGTCTGCCTGCCCAGCATTTTGGAACCGCCTGTGTCCGATTTAAAACATTCCCCTCCCTTTGGTGTCCCTTGGTGTGATTTGGAATTTCTTTGACTTTGTCGATATCTATTGGAAGCTTGGTCTAATCTAACAGAAGATTCTCCTTTTTTTTTTTTTTTTAATTCAATAGAAATCCTCCGCAGTGTGACGAACCTGATCCCGGTAGCATCAACAGCGATCCGGAAGCTAAGGTCAGTAAGCAAAACACACGTCGTCCTCAACTTAACGAGCACAAATTGAGCCCACCCGCGTTTCTCTGGCTAAGCGAGGCAGCTGTTTGGCGAAGTTTTGCCCCGTTTTACGACCCACTGACTTTGCTTGTCAGAAGGTCGCAGAAGGGGATCGCGTGACTCCCCGGGACACTGCGACCGTCATAAATAGGAGTCATTTGCCAGGAATTTTGATCGTGTGACCGTGGAGATGTCGCATGGGTCATAACTGTGATAATCTGGTCCTAAGTCGCTTTTTTCAGTGCCATTGTAACGTACGCAATTAGATATGTCTAACCTAATGAAGAGAAGGACCAGGGGTGACATGACGGCAGTCTTCCAGTATCTCAGGGGCTGCCCCAAAGAAGAGGGAGTCAAGCTATTCCCCAAAGCACCTGAAGGCAGGACAAGAAGCAACGGATGGAAACTGGTCAAGGAAAGAAGCAACCTGGAACTAAGGAGAAACT